TTAGCGGTAAGGAGGCTTTTGGTGGCTCCGGGATGCAGAGCAGGGAAGCCTGCGCTTTTCCGTGCCTTGGTTATCCAGAGGGATGCAGGAGGGAGGTTTCCGGAGGCTCTGCCGGGCCCAGCTGCATTCGCTTCTCCCTTCTCCCGGCAGCGGTGTCCACGTCCGTGTTCATCGTGGCCATCCTGGTCCTGCTGCTGCTCCTGTACCACCGGGACCCGCTGTGCTGCCAGTTCCTCTGCTCGTGCCGCTTCTTCCAGAGCCCTAGCCAGTATGTGAGTATCCCTCTCTGCCCCTCGCAGCTGTAGCTTCCCGGGTCTTACAAGCGAGGAAGCTGCTGAGGGAAAAAGAGCAGCACGTTCAGCCAGCACAGCCTTCGCGGTAGCTGCTGCCTCGGGAAAGCCTGGTCTTCCCGGGCTGCGGTGATGGTGGTGCAAAGTTCTCATTTCTGGCCACCAGTTTCTTTTCCCCCTTGTAGGGGCTGGGGATGCCTAGCAGTGCCCCAGAGGGGACATCTCCGCTTGCTTGGGTGAGGTACACGGGCTGGTAACTGCTCTGGCTTTTTCTGCTGTCTGCAGGGTCTGTGTCCCGACACGTCTTTGCACAGAAGCAGTTGGGCTGCTCTGAGGTGGCTTTCGAGACAGTAGAGTTGTGCCAGTCATACTCGCTTTGCTTATCAACATTAAAACAAAGAACGGTTGTCTATTTTCCTTATGGCCGTTATTAAGTGCGTGGTAGAGCTGGCACAAATATTTCCCAAGTTGTTAATCACAAAAATAATTCTTCCTTTTGTAGTTCACACTTTAGCTCGCAGGTTGCCCTTGAAGGCCCCCCGGGGGACAGAGAGGTTTGCCAGGCGCTGCGTGGGGTTTGCTCCGGAGCTGGAGGGACAAGGGGACACAAAACCCGCTGTGCCCGCGAGGGGACACAAAACCCGCTGTGCCCGCGAGGGGACACAAAACCCGCTGTGCCCGCAAGGGGCTCGCGGGGATGTTGGCAATCAGAGCGCTAGGTGTGACTGCCCTGGTGGTAAACTGCAGCCTCACTCTCTGAAAATACTGCAGTGATTTGGGGCTATTTACTGCTGGCTTTCGGGGAACAAGGACATTCGTAGAAATTGAGCCTGGCCCTCATGTGAGGGGGTCCCTCCCCTCACAAAGAACCTCTGCTTGCTGCTGCCAACCACCTTCTCGGGGAATGTGGTTTAACCAGGAGAAGGCTCTTTACTCGGGAACAGAATGGCCGCTATTCTTCGAGTTTGCTTGCCACGTTATCCCACAACGACTTTCTTGGTAGATAAGACAATTTCTGTCACCTTGAGCATACAAGTGAGCTCTTATCTTTATTAGTGGAATAGTTGCGTAGTTGTTGTCCTCCATCCCTGAAATAATTCTGCTGAGCCTGAACGAAACTCTGCCTTTGGGGCCCGGCTGCTGCCTCTGCTCGCGGTGCCAGGCGGGGGTGTCAGCCGGCTTGGGGACTTCGAGGGGACCTTGTGCTGCACAGTCAGCATGTACCAGTGCTGCCCATAGCAGCTGGCACTGGTAACTAGTCAGGCCACAGACAGGCAGAGCTGGCAGCTCTGTGCCCATGAGCAGCCCTGCGAGAAACCGAAGGGAGGGCGCTGAGCCCTGCGCGGGTGACGAATTCTCCCGTTGGGCATGAAGAGCAGCTGGGCAGGCTCCTTTCTGGGCGCTCTTGCCAGCGACTTAGGTGTGTGCCTGTGTTAGCAGCGAGCTGCTCCATCCCGTGCTTCCCCAGCGCTCCTGGCGGGGTGGGGTGTTGGGGATTTTCGCTTGCGCTCACGCTCTCCTCTGAACCCCTCGTTACAGGACTGTCCCCCTCCGTACTTCAGCAGCAGCCAGCGGCTGGTGGGACCCCAGCACGGAGCGTCACGCCTGGAGAGCGCTGCTGAGAATGCTGGCATGCAGGTGACCTTGGTCTCCCCTGGCGGGAGCTGGGCACAGGGGAAATGGTAGCAAAGATGCTGAGGAGTTTGGGAAGAGGCTTTGGTTATGGCTGCCTGGGAAGCTCTTGGGGACTACAGCAGTTAGAGCAACTTTGAGAAGTGCTGCTTGCCTATTACAGCCTTTGAGGAGGCCACAGGGTGCTACTTCTTACTGCCACGAGGCGTTTGGGCATTCAGTGCCACAGAGATCCCTCTTGGCCTGGGTCTGCATCTTGAGGCTGCGGTGTAATTACCCCCAAGATCAGGCTCCAGGGAGGGTTCAGGTTCCCTCTTTCGAGATCCAAAGAAGGGTGCTCAAAACTCCAGGTGTAACTTCAGGTGACAACAGGCCCGCAACTTCCAACAAGACAGAGGCCAGTGCACTGAGGTTTCTCTTCTGGGCTGGGTTTTTCTAGCGAGATGAACTATTCTGCATCGGACCCCCGAGCAGCTACCAGCTCCCTGCCTGGGAAGAGCCTCGCCTGCCGAGCTACGAGAGCGTGCGCAAGAAAGATCGCCAGCGGGAAATCCATCAGATGATCGCCGAGAGGTTTGGGCTGTGGGCAGACCCTCCCCAGGAGGTGGGTGTCCCGTGCCCAGGGCTGTTCTCCTGGCAGGGGCTCGGGAATGGTCTTCCTCCGCTCTGTGTGTGTCTTGCTTCAGCAGTTTCCAGCAGCAGAGGACTCTGTTCTCTGCAATTGTCTCTCTCTGATAGCCTTGATCTGTGGCAAAGGCACAGCGTGTTCCTGGAGGCGCCGGTTGCGTACGTGTGTGCTGGTTAATGATTGATCCCTCCCGGAGCGTTTGCAGCGGTGCCTGTGCGGGAGGAAGGGCAGAGCTGCTGATGAAAGGGCAGGTTCTCCAGATCATCTTCTCGGCAGAAGACCAAACTGGGAATGTTATTTTTAGATCTGTAAGGCTTCCAAGGTCTCTTGCTCCCCTCTCCCTCTGGGCACCTCCAACAGGCAGGGGCTGTAACCTTGAAATGCTTGTGGCTTATTTACGAGCAGGAGCCAGTTGGGATGCCTGAGGCTTGCACTTCTCCCAACAGAACAAAGCAAGTGCATCTGCCAAGACTCCTGCAGAACACAAAGGCCTTATTGACCACAGCAGAATAGAAACATTTGAAACTTGTAGCAGGGCACTGAAAGAGCTCAACCATTTACCTACATTTTGAGCTCTTAGAGCTGCATCAAAAACTTGGCATGGTAAGCACTTCACTGCTTGGCACTCGCCCCTTTGGCAGTCAGTACTTGGAGCTGTAACTAATGGTGCCTGCCCTGATACCCTGAGCACTAAAAGCACAGCAGAACAAGGCCCAGATCCCCCAAGAATAATGAGCTAGGTGTGTAAAATCTAAGCCCAAGTGACTTGCCCAGAAGAGCGGGTACAGAGTGATGATATTTACAGTTAGGAGAGGTGACTGCAGCACTGACTGGTGTTAGCACAGCAGGGAAAGTGGGAGCTCTTCCACAGCATCCCTGGTGCCACTGCTGTCATCTTCTGCAGAGAGAGAGAGAAACCTAGCCCAGCTCTTCCAAAATACAAAATAATACAGCTCAGAATTCCCCTTTTGCTGCTATATAGTGAGACTCCCTATCAAAAGCTGGATAGAAAGTCTGGTTTCTAGGTGCTTATGTAAACAACTGTACAGCAATTTATACTTGGTCAAAAGAAAACAACAATCCTCTTTCAACAAAATCTTTCTTTTTTGCTTTTGTAACAAATAATTACAAGTCCTTAAGGTGGGATAGAGAAGAACAGCAGTTTGGCATAAAGTGCGAAGCAGCAGTAGGTGGAAAACACTGCAGCTGCTCCAGTAGACTTCTGCCCTGGCTCACTACGAAGCGGTGCTAAGTGCTAATCTTCCAGGTGTTCATTTAGGCAGCAGCATGTTGAGGATTAGAGGAATTTAATTTCATGGATGTGGTGGCTATTGTGTGTTGCCTGCTCTAGGAAGAGGTGGGATAACCTCTTTTGTTATTTCTGATCAGCTGTAATACCCTTCCTCTCATGTTTACAGATGCCACCTCCCTACGAGCATGCTCTAAGGCATCCTCCAGCTTTCTCAGGAACAGGAATAAGCTCGGGGACCTTGGACAGACTTGGAATGCCAGTCCCTTTCCAGGATCCTGTCTGCTACCAAAGCCAAAGGAACACAGCAGTATAAGGACTCAACCTCACAAAAGTCCAGCTTCCTGTGGTGTCAACGACAGAAGTGCCTGTGACATTGTCCTTGTCTGCAGGGAACAGCTAAGCCAGAGAACTTCACCCAGACTCGCAACCAGCCAAGAAACACACAGGCAAGTTGGACCCAGCCAAAGGAGACGTCCGTCCTGCAGCACAAGGATAAAAGCAGAGCCACCACCAAATATTCCTCTTCCTCCAGAATAACGAGGGATGGCTGCTTGCTCTTCTCTGGCAAATGTGCTGTTACCAGAGCTACTTTGCTCAACACGGGGAGCAAAGGAAAGGCCAAGGTCTGCTTGGCCAGAGCCTGTCGAGGCAGCTGAGTGCAACGCACCTCTGTGAGGCTGTGGCAGGTACTGCCACGCATACCAAGTATTGCACCTCAGAAGGCCCTCACCTTCTACTACTACACTTATTTCTTAGGTTATCAAATGGTTTTCCATATCTGGTGGGAATTCTGACCTGAGTAACGGAATGAGTCTGCGTCACAGCATCGCTCTGTGCTCTCAGAGCAACGTTCCTCTGGGAGCTGGAGCAATTTTGTATGAACTTAAGATTCAGGTGTCCAAGAGATTCCGGACTGAAGATACAGGAGCTTGTGTTACTTGCGGTGCTGTACGCAGAGACAAACAGGATGAACTGTGTGACTGGACGTGCAGCTGGGAAAGGAGGGAAGCATGGAGGGAATAGCTGGTGGTCTCTGAAAAGGACATAGGGGAGCAACTGTGGAACTATGTGGTTCACCCAGGTTACTTGGTCTTTCTTTGCAGAGCAGCCAATCTAGCAATGTCAACACTGGTGTTGTTACACCACCAATTTTGATACCATTTTCTACTGCAAAACAAATGTTTTAAAAATTTGTTTACAAAGCTGTAGATAAAGTGAGATGAGTTTGGCTACCAGGCATTTGGACTCCTGTCTCTTAGAACAACATAAGCAACCACGGAATGACTCAGAAAAAAATAAAAGGATAGCCTGGATTATGGCTTTACGATACACCTCATGGCCTCCAGCTGCTGAGTTTCGAATACCATCCCAGACTCGTGAATGCTAGCAGGCACTCTAAAATTAGTCATGAATTAGCTTTAGGAATGTAAACTTACCTCAGGAGGCTAGTAAATGGAACACTTTCAGGGATGGAGTTGGAGTTAATCAGTGAAGTGAGTTAGTTATTAAGAAAAGCCAGCGTCCTGGCTTCTGCAGAGTTAGGTGCTACTGGAAGAGGATCTGTCCTCTTCTGCAATATCTAGAACTAAGACACAAATAAAACAGTAATGGCTAAAAATGATTAAAACTTAACAGGACATTATTAGTGTGAAAAGAACCAATGTGTGATTTTTGAAGTTAACTAATTCAAAGAAACAATGGAGCAGGTTCTTCAGAAAAAGACAGCTGCGTAAATAAGCATAAACAACACACATTCTGTGAAGAATCAAAAAAAACACAGCATTTATTAAACCCTCTTCAAAATGCCTACAGGTGATTCCAGTGCCCAAGTCCTGAGCATGTGTGCCTTAGAAGCAAGAACAGTCCTACACAAGGAGCTTCCAAGCTGGAATAAATATTCTCCCGGACACCTGATGTCCCAGGGTGCCAGAGCAGCTAGTGATCTGTCCCAGCAGTTCCTCTCCCTGTCTTGCTCCTACATGACGTAGGAAGATCAAAGCATATCCACCAGTTTGAAGCTTCCCACTTCTGTGGTAGGGACAACATTGATGAAGGTTTTGTAAAGAACTGCTCCTTTAGGCAGCTGACAGATGACCTCCCTGCTCTCCGTGCTGCGCGGCAGAGGGACGTAGACCTCTTTGGTGTATCTCACAATTCCATCCTCCAGGGCGTAGAGCGTCTTGGTTCGGCCCATCCCCACCTGCAAGAGGACAAGCGGGCCCTTAGACAGGAAAGGCTGGGAGTGCATCACTAAAGCACACCTGATCATCAGTCTGCCTTGTACAACATTCTGGCTTCAAAAGCTGCTGCTTTGTGTTTTAGAACGGGGAAAAGAAAAAGGCATACTGCAAATGGCAGGTAATATTTCTCATTACAAATAAGGAGATTCTCTTTCCACCCTGAAGTACAAGAACCCAGCTTGGTTAGAGAAGATATAGAGGATATTCATAACATTCATAACTCTCAGTCCTTTCCCAAGTCACATAAGCACAGATACAATTCTAAGCAGGGAGTGTGACTAAGAAATAGCAGGTAATGAAACCAAATGTCAGCATTACATGCAATATTGGGGAGGAAATTAAGAAGCAGCTTATAAGAGAAGAAGCACTGACTATGGGACCCTGTTGTGGGCTGCTGTTTTCTTGAGAACTGGGGAAGAGAGAAAGACAACTTACATAAGCCCCTGGATGCCAGCGTATCAGCCGCTGTGTAGCCAAAATGTTGCCTGCGTGCACAAAGTTACCTGCAACACAGTTACACAGAGTTACACGGCAGAGGAAGGGAGCTTCCTCCAGCCTCGGAGCTAGTGGAATACAAGCAGTTTTAGGACTTACAAAACCAGTTTTCTGTGAGAGTTCGTAAGGAAAAATTACTTCAAATTCTAAAAGCATTTAAACAAACAAAAAATACATTATTGGTGAGAAATAGAGGGCAATTGATGCACAATGGCAAAAAGCAATTCTAATCTTTGAAAAGATTACTTCGAGGGTACAGAGCATTTTCCGTTTGCTAAAAGAATTTTTTATTACCTTTTACATTGATTTGTTTTCATCAGCAAACCTACTAATTTTTAAGCACTCAGCTGCAGGAATCTGTACTTTGGCTTTGGCTAAGCCTCCAAATTCTTTCCTTTGTAAATATCTAAAATGTGCAGCTTTTGAAAGCAGCATGGGGTGAAAGTGCATGCGAGTTAGCAGGTGCCCCACAGCGCACCCCTCCTGCCAGGCTCTCGGAGAGAGCTGAAGCCAGGATCAAGGTATGTTTTCTATAGGCAGCTCCAGCTGGCTGCAGGGGGGCTGACTCACGCTGCCCTCCTGCTGCGGGCTGGTGCAATCCTGATGTTGAGGTTTGCTGAACACTCACCCCAATAGCCAGGGACGCCTGGGGAGAGCCCACTGCAGCACAGCTCAGGAAAGGCACCTGATTAATGCTCTTACCTTCTACTTTTTTCACTCCGTAGCGTTTCCCGCGGCTGCGGCCACCTAAGTTTTTGGAGCTGCCCCCAGCTTTCTTAGAAGCACCTCTCACAGCAAGCAGGGTCGTCTGCGGCACAGCCAGAACTAGATTTGGAGCAAGAACAACAAAGAGGAAAATCTCAACCAAAAAAGACACAGTACTCTTTATCAGCCAATATAAAATTTAAAGCTAAAGGCAAAAGAAAGCCCTGAGAAAAATCTTACTATAAAGTTAAATTGGGTTAGACCACCATGGATTAAATCTTCTGCAAAGAGGCCACCTTTCAAGAAACGCTGAGAATAAGATTCTCAGCCATGATGTTAGAGGACATACACAAATTCATATTTCAGTAATGCCTCCTACATCTGTGAGCTACTGAAGTTACTGCTTGTGATTGATTGGCCTTATATAGCCTTGAGAAAGGATCAACTGATCTGTGTTTTGATCCCCTCTTCAATTGAATTGACTTTATTTAAATAGTCTCATCTGTAAGGCTACAAAATGGCAAGACTCCCATTCAGGAAGGTATAAAAGATCTTACCACCCTAAATAAAAACTAATTTGAGCATTTTATGCAACTCTTTAGGTTACAATCAGGACAAGTCATAGAAAAAGAAAGCAGTTATTACAGTAACCAGTGTCTCTGGAATACAAAATATCACTGACAACACAAAGTTCTTTCTTAAAAAAAGGGGCGATCTGAGTAAATACAACAACTTTTTTTTGGGGGGGAGCAGTCAGCAGTCATACCCATTATTTTTCTAAATCCCTCTATTTAACTTCATCAGCAGCTTATGAAACAAGAGCAGCTATCGCAACACTTGTTTCCTCACTCGAAGTAGATGCACTGAGCTAATTTAATCTTAATTAAATTATCCTAGATAGCGAGCTAAAACAGGGAGGACGGAAGTAGCTCTACAAGAACAGTTAACTTCAGTGTCGATAGTCATTAAATACAAAAAAGAAGCTAAGAGGTAACAGACTAGAGAGAAATGAGGAAAGATGAAAGGGGTCTACAGGGGGGGTCTAAAGGGGTTTGTAGGCATAAATTCTATGAAGTTAGAATCTAGTTAACTTGTATCTATCAAACAAACAAACAACCTGCTGTTGGCCAGTTATATTTTGTGTTGTATGAAAAAAATGGCTAATGCAAAGTGAATCTCAATGCATCACACAAGAGGGGGAGGCAGGCCATCCACGGAGTGAAACTCCAAGATATGGAGTTTGCAGTTGATAAAAGCCACCTTGAAAATCAACACTAAATGTCCAAGACGCTGCCCTGCACGCAGGAATCACAGCAATATTCCCGACCGTAACACTTCTGGATAACTAGAGGGATTTCTCAGCCTCCTAGTACCGCACTGCACGGGGAAGGAAGCCCCCCCGCCTTGCTGATTGATATCTACGCTGTGTTTATGAAACGCGCTTTTTCAAAATAGACTTTTAATTTTTTTTTCTCCTTGAGGACAGTGACCGAGCTGCTGCGAGTCCGTCCTTGCAGGAGCCTGGGGACGGAAGGGACGGGGCGCAGCGCAAAGCGGCCAAAGACGACCCCCCGCCTCCGGGACACCGCA